CATAAATAGGGCGCCCAACAATGGCCATTCAAAGGCGGTGCCCCTGAGCTTCCCACCTCAACTGGCTCGGCCATGTCATGAATGCCAAATGGAGCATCGAGGAGCAGCAAGTGCATCCATAATGGATTCCTCGATTGTTGCCAAAGGAAGCCGTAAAAACTTTCGGTTTTAAGCTAGTGGGTAGTTGGTAGTTGGACACTCGATAAATTTGCCCAATCAGCCGAAAAATATGCAACAGCTTTCGGGCTTCAGTCTCCCCTAGTTTTCCAATTAAAATGCAAAGTTCTAGAGTTTCTAAAACACAATAAGCAACACAATACGCCCACAATATCCAGCTCCTAGCCAACTCGTTTTGGCCATTGAGTGTGCAGGACATTTTAATTTGTTGTGTTTTACATTTTCGATTGAGGCTTTTGCGCCCGAGTCCGCTCAGTTTATGGCACTTTTATAACTCACATGCAGCCGAGGAACCCCGGGGCGTAAAAATATGCTGTTTTTCCGATGGCCCCCACATGACGTATCGATATGCGGGGGCAAAACAATGGGAAACCATTTTGTTCATATAATTTCACTGGCGAAATCAAAGGAAGCGTCCGGGAGGAACAACAATAAGCGCCACGTCGACCGTCTGATATCTCTTGCCTATCCTCGAGCGGCCTCCTTTGTGGCGCCACAAGTAGAGGGTAGTATCTGTTGATACCATGCCCCTGGAAATCATCTTGTACCAGCGTATCTTTGTGCCTTTTCAATCTGGCCAGCTTGCCATCGAGCGGCGAAAAGGCCAAACTTTTGCACAGCCATTTTTTATTGTTGACTCAAATTTGGAATTATTTTTATTTGCGCAAAGTTGAGGAGCACAGGGAGGGCACGAGTCCATGAAAATCCACTTTCAAATGTCGAAGGATGGACTTTCTGTCATTGAGCATCGCATCGAATGGGGCGCTAAATCAAAAACAACGACCAGAGGGCAATCCGGAATTGGATTGGTTTTGAAGTCTGAAATTCGAGGTGGGTAGATTGAAAATGGGCCACGTTTGGGCAATCGATTTGAATGGCCCGCTTAGAGTCATTGCCAATTTGATAACTATAATTTATGAAGCTGTATTGTATTGCCATTTTCGCATATAAATTACATTAAATATTTACGTTAGCCGTGAAAAATGCATAAATAGTGCGAATCGTTCGTCTGCTGAGTCCTTTGTAGCCGCAGATATCCGCATATATCCGCATAGATCCGCACAGATCCGCACATATCCGCATATATCCGCATATCCTGTGCAAACAACACTGCGCCAGTTGAAAGCCAAATATTTGCGCAGCAAATGAAAAGCATTTAAATCCGTTCGCAGGGGTTAACCGTAATAGTTTTTGAGCCGCATCGCAGGGTCGCCGCAGCAGGCAAACTGTTGGAACCGCCCTCGCAACTGTAGTAGTATAACAGCAATTAGCTGCGGTCGCATTTCATTGTGTTCCCCACTATTTGCACTAAACTTTACACTTATTAAACAGGCGAAAAATGATTGCGGCAAAGTGCCGGGATTAAAGTATTGCACCTCATCCCACTGGCGGCAGCACTTTTAATTGGCATTCAACTTTCTCCTTTCTCCTTTGACCGCACAACTCAACTTTCCCGTAATTTACCAACCAAATAAGCGACTTTCCCAGCTTCGACTTCCTTGGTCACCTCAAAAGCTGGGAATACTCTTCTCGCTAAGCCGCACTCAAAGGTTGCCTTTATTTACCTGGTCTTTGCAGTCGAGTTGAAGATAAACAGAAATAAATGAAATGTTACGTTTGCTGTGTACCTGGAAAATATTACAAGAAAAAGGAAGCATATTCATAAATTCGTGATTTATTTAAATGCCATGTGTGCGGGATGCCCCATAGAAGTGCCCAAAACTCGGGATCATCCAGCTCTCGCATGCCGATTCATCTGAATTATTGCTAGCACACGCGTTTCTCTCAGTGCACATGCGGTGGGTGTTCCCGAAATCCCAAAAGTTTAGGCAAATTGCCCGTGGCATTTGGCTTGCTGAAAACGGATGCCTTTCGAACTGCAGCTGGTTCTTTGGGCAAAGGGCAGTTATACTTTTGCGGTTGCCAGCTTAATTTAATGTAACTTTCGACATGGCCAGCTGGAGTCGAAAGGTGAGCGGTGTTGCTGGAGAGGATCGAAGGGCAAGTAACCAGCTGGAAAGTGCTCGGCCACAATAATCTCCGAATCCACTTGGCTTTCGAGTGGATGAATGGGTGATGGGTGATGGGTGGAGGCCAGAGCACCTGACCGCCTCCACGCACAGAACTATTAGCAGCAATGAAAAGTTGAAAGTTCATTTTGTGCAGCAGCACAAGGAAAAGTGCTGAAAGCTGAAAAGTACACACTGACCTTTGCAATTTTTCATTATGGCCGTAGAGTTGGTCGCACATGATTTGGCCAAAGAGCCGTGGGCGACAATAAACAGATGAAGTCCAAAGTATGTTTGTGGCCAACTTAATTGCCGGCCAGCTCAAGAAGCCCAAGAAATACTCTGCTGGCCGCAAACTGGATGCTCCACCCGCAGACCAAACGAAATGAACGAAATGATGGCATTCCTCCTCCGAGGGAATGCGCAACAAAGCAACTAAAATGCGAGATTTTCCATTTGAAAGCGCACACTTTCGTGCGACTTGCCACAGCTTGCAGCATGTATAAAGTTATATCCGCACTGCCAGGAAATTTCTGCATGGCGAAACCATTTCAGGTTTGTCACTCGAACACTCCAACACTCGAACACTCGAACACGCACCCAAGTGCAGGCGGCCTGGCGAAAATGCCAGGATACGCGGCGCTGGGCGGATGGGGGGGATGGAGGAGCATGGTCAGGCCCAGAGGGGCATCGAAACGGGAACCCGGCTCATTGTCATTTTCCGACCCGAGTTGGCTTTGAGCACCTGAGAACCAGCCCGCCAGTCGGCCAGTTGGCCAGTCGACCAAATGTGGACACAGGCTCCATTTGAGAAGGCTGCTCGTCAACAGAGCCATCAAATTGTCATTTTGGGAGCAAACGCGTTGGTTTGCATTCGAAAATGCTCGAAAAATAGGTGTCCTTACGGGTCACTCGGCTTTTATCTTTGAAATTTAATTCAAGTTCGGTGCATAACGAGTTCATTTCAAAGCAAAATCATTTATGATAATAATGCTCCAAGAAGTACAATGCAAAATAATGCAATTCATTAATATTATTAACACAACTAAATATGTCCAAGTAAATACTTAAATATTTTAAGCTCAGTCCGCAAGTAGCTCAAATGGATTTCGTCATAATCCCATGCACAGCAAACTAAACGCAACAATAATAGTAATAATACATAAATCACAACTTTTCACTCTGCGAAGCCATTAAACAAAATGTATTTAAAGGCAAGCAGACAGCGTCGGATGGCAGATACATTTTGCTGGATTTTTTCGTCCTTCGGCGATCTGTCATGTTTTTGAAGTAGGTCCTCGACAGCAGCGTCGGCCAGATAAGAAATGCATATTTAATAATTTTATTCCTTCACTCAGCAGGGCCCCAGGAGCTTAGCTTGTTTTATGAGTGCGACACAATAAGCCTGAGCAGAAAGTTGCAAATGGAAATCGGGTTCCAAGTGGGCAGATTATCAGGGATAAAGCAGGGATGTGCTCAACTCAGCCGCTTTGTGAAAAGCTCGTGTGGAAGCCAACGAAACAATAAATGGCCCAGTCAAAGTTGTCGATGTTGGGCTTGCTTGCCTTCAATCAGCGATTATATTACGAGTGCCAAAATGCGACACAGTTTTCCGCTTAGCCACCTGCCACTGCCGCTGCCACTGCCACTGCCACTGCCACTTGCCACTTGCCACTTTTCAGGTCTGCCCCGGATGCCACGCCCCCGGGAACGCCGCGAAAATCTGCCCTTCGTTGAATTCATTCATTGTTGCGGTCCGGCTTCTATTTTCAGCACATACACAAAATTAACATTTTTGTTGCGGACTCTCAAAATCACTGAGCCATGGTGCTGCTGCTCCTCCAGCCCGCTATTCCCAGCGAGAAGGGAAAGGGGCAAGGATTGGGGTTGCGTATATGGCGGCACCACCCACGCAGCTAAATTTAATTTTGTTAATGAGCTTCGCCCCGCCGTTTCCTCATCCCGCCAATGGACCCACCGCCATTCTACTATTTTTCATTCGCAATCCCAAAGCCCTCAACCCGTTTTTGAGGTGGTCCGTGGTTCCAGAATCCACTTGCCAAGTGGTGCGAGTGTGTGTTTGTGTTCTGGTCTCCATGGCGCTGTGGTGCCCGGCAGGATTGGGCCGTGAATAGGGATTGGGAGCGGTAGCGATTGGGACGGCGATTAGAACGACAATGGACCATTGCCGAAAACACTTGAAAACTGTTCGTGTGGGCTGGGGACTTTGATTAAAAGCGGCAGCATTGCTATCCAAGCGGCATGCCGGAAAGCCAAAAAAAAAAAGAGGAAGGAAAATAAACAAGTTGGATCTGACAAAGACATTAACATTTTAATTGCGCCGGCAACGCAATGGATTCGAGGAGCAGGCGGAACAATTGACAATAAGTGAGCCCGAATAAAACTTTATGGAGGCAGCGAAGGGCAGACGGCAAAATGGCCATTAGTATCGGAGCCATAAAAGTCAAAACTTTGCAGGGTTGGCAAGTGGCAGGCGTGGATTAGCCATAATTTCCCTGCTGCCAGGAAATGGAACCCAGTTATCATTCGCCGCAAATGCGATTATGTTTGGCAGCAAGCAAATTTGGAGTCAAATTAAGATATTCGATCTTTTAAGGCGAAACTCAAGGAAGGAAGCTATCCACTTGTACAGATTAATAACACAACATTGCAGTGTATAAATAAATAAATAAATATATTGATAATGTATTCCAATGCTCGGCTATTGAAAAACCATAATCAGAGTATACGAGTATATATCAAAAGTATCTATGAGTTTGTGGTTAATTTCTCTGATTTTCAAATTCATTGCAGCTGCCTCGGTGGCCGTTTCCTCCTGGACACTGGTGGCCATCTCCTGCGAGCGCTACTACGCCATCTGCCATCCGCTGAGGTCGCGCACCTGGCAGACGATAAACCACGCCAACAAGATCATCGCCATCATCTGGCTGGGCAGCCTGGTGTGCATGACGCCCATCGCCGCCTTCAGCCAACTGATGCCCACCAGTCGACCAGGTGAGTGTCGTGGCGAGGCCAGCTGCTCCAGCACACTAATCCCTGCAACTATGTCCACAATTCTGGCCAGGACTGCGCAAGTGCCGGGAGCAGTGGCCGGCGGACAGCCTCAACTACGAGCGGGCCTACAACCTGTTCCTGGACCTGGCCCTGCTGGTGCTCCCGCTCCTGGCCCTCAGCTTCACCTACCTGTTCATCACCCGCACCTTGTACGTGAGCATGCGCAACGAGCGGGCCATGAACTTTGGCAGCAGTGGCCCGGAGGTCACCGCCTCCTCCACCGCTGTCGCAGCACCTGGCGGCCAACGACGTCCCAACGGAAGCCACTGTCAGTCCCTCGACACGATTGTGCCCCACCAGCACAATCCCCACCAGCAGCACCACCACCACACCCAGTACTACTATGGTAAGAGGTTCATGCTCATTTCTTCTCAGCTGGGTCAATGGGAACTCTGGGTTCCGAGGATTCCGAGGGCTTAGAGGGTTCAGGCACTGTTGCCGAAGGAGGCGCCCTTCTGGATTAGCTCAACTGGTGCGCTTATCCGAGTACCCAAAGCCCAGGAACTGCGGCAATGGTTCCCACGCACGAGGAGATTCCAGTGTCGACGACTCTTGCCTAAATCGCGCAAGTGAATTGAATGGGTGACTGGGGAATGGGGAAGTAGGCTAAGCCCTGGAGGAGCGCTCTCTCCAAGTTCTCCAAGTTCTCCAAGTGTGTGCCAAGAGACAATGGCACGCGAAAGCTGGCGGCGTTTTTGCTTTCATTTGCATTCGCAGCGCCGGCTTTGGGAGCTAGATGGCTTCTGCCCACCCATCCTCTCCAGCTGCGAATGCTGTGAATAATCCCAGATTATGGGCACAAAGATTCTAGGCAGCCCAAGGCAAGCCGGCGCAAATCAATTCGGCTAATTCGCCTTTAATACCGTCTTAAAGCGTTCCTATATACAAGTATATATGCTCGGCTGCAGCGGATTTGGTGGGCTGTGAATATGGAGCAGTCCCAGTGGGCTCTCCACTATAGTTGCGGATGCGGAGGAACCTCCTCGAGCTCCGCGGATGCGAGTTGGCAACGTGACGCGTATGATAAACGCACGCCCACAAGGCGAAGTCAACCGTGGAGTCCCCGTGGAAATCACAGGAGCCTGCCGAGCAGCGGACTTACTTTAATCTTCTAGAATATACTCTGCCTCTGGTCCAATTAATGTGGGTAGGAGGCGGGCCTGCCACGGAGGTGGAAGCAGTGGAGCAGTGGAGCAGTTGTCCCCGAGCGACTCATTTGCATGAAAGGGTTGGCGCCTCCAGGTGCTTTATGGGAAATGGAAAGTGTGCATTAGCATAGACCTTCACTTGGCGCACTCGAGGATTCATTGAACGATTCATTCGTTCCGGCAACTGACCCCGCCTGACCCATGGACCACAGCCCGCTGCTAAAAAGGTCAATTTCAATGCCCTTAATTATGCACGAGACGAGCATTTAAGCGCTCGTTAAAGGCCGTCGTCCATCCCATTTCCTAGGACGCGTGGCACTCATTTCCACACATACTTTTGTGTGGCAATAAATTTGATTAAATTTTTAACTTTCCCGTTGCGCCATAAATTTGCGGGCCACAGCGACGGGGTCGCCAATGTCCCATTACCGAACAAGCTGAACAATTCCATGGAAATTGCCACATTATTAGGAGTTCCACTTAGCCCCCACTATGCGTGCCAGGAATTCGCATGCCCTCATCCGCAAGCTGCGCTTCTGATGGCAATTTAAATTATGCTCAGCTGAACCACTCGCCTGCCCGCAAATGGCAATAAAATTGCGAGGTATGTGGTCTCATCCGGACTTAAGTACCCACTTCCCTCCGGCATTCCCAAACGTTACCTTCACATGCTACTAGCTGCGAATATAATAGCCTTCCTATCCAATGTCCATAAAGTGGGCAGACTTCTCTTGATTTCTCCCACTTTGATGGCGGTAAAAGCAATCCCTTTATTATGTCGTTAGTATAGAGGTGTCCTCCTCTGGAAACGCAGCCAAATGCCCTTGCTGCTGGCGGTGAGGAAAGTGCGCGGCGACACCTCCACTCCGCACTCGTCCTCATCCGCCAGCAGGACGCAGTGCTCCTGCAGGAGTGTGGCCAGGGCAGCCTTGGTCTGCAGCAGTCCAAGTCGCATGCCCGGACACATTCGAGGTCCGGCGCCGAAACCCAAAAAGCGGCAGCCCATTGGCGGCTGGTCCAGAAAGCGATCCGGACGGAACTGGTGGGGTGCCGGATACAGTTGGGGATCTCTGGAAGGAGAAGTGAGTGGTGAGTGAGTCCGAGGTTTGGGATTTTGTGCGCCACCCACAGATGAATGGCCTGAACGGGCACCACCAGCACGGTGCCCACATCCACGTTGAGTACGCTGCTCGCGCCCGATTTCTGGGCAGGAAGGGTGAATGACTTGGTACAGCGCTTCTGCAGCGCCTGCATGGCCGGGTGCAGACGCAGTGCCTCCAACAGCGCAGCCTCGCCATAGCGCAGTTCACCCAGAGCCACTTGCTCTATCAGTTTGCCCGCGTGGCGCCTTGCCACTTCATCCAATTCCATGTGCAGACGTTGCTGGGCCTCCTCATTGCGGGCCAATTCGTAGAGGACGAAGGCAAGTAGCATCGCCGAGGTTTCGTAGCCCTCCAGCAGGAGAGTGGTGGCATGTCCTGCCAGCTCCTGCTGCCCCAAGCCCCTCTTGCTCGCCGCCAGCCATTGGAGCAGGTTGTCGCCAGCACTTCTAGCTGCCACCAGCTCGCTGAACCATTGCTGCAGGTGCAGCGGTACGTATCTGTATGGAGGTAGTGGATCAAAGATGACACACTAGAAAGTTGCACTCTACCAACCGGTGACCAATGAGTCCAGCCAAGCGAGGCGAGTGCAGCAGCGACACGGTCTCCAGCAGACTCCAGGCACTTGGCTGGAAGAGCGGCGCCAGCCACTCCAGCCAGCGACTTGGTGGCGCCAGCCTCCTGCGCCTGCCCAGGCACTGGGCATCCAGGCCGAAGATCGCGGAGGCCACCACTTGCAGCGTGTAGCGCGTGGCCAAGTCCTTGGCCTCGCAGCGTCCAGGGGGCAGCTGATCCCGCAGCAACTGACAAGCCTTGGCCACGTGCGGCAGGGTCTGGCGCACTCGGCTGGGTGTGAAGAGCGGCACCAGGTCGGCTCGCAGGATTCGCCAGCGGTGCCCGTTGGCGATGAAGGGATTGTGGCTGGCCAGCACATCGCGCTGCTGGTCCACGTAAACGGCGTTGTCCGCACAGTCGGCAAAGTTGCTGCCCACCAGGATGCGGCGCAGCAGCTCCTGGTCGCGCACCAGAATGGCGGGCTCGTTAAACAGGCGATAGAAGCCCACATATCTCAGGCCCCGATTCTGACTGTCAATTGACTGTTCATTGATTCTGCAGAGCACTCTTTACACTGAGCTTACGCATAGATGTGCTGGTAGACCTCTCCATAAGATCGCCGTGCCAGGGCAAAGTCCAGCATGTTCCCAACCAGTGGCCAGCCAAAGGGCGCCTCCAGGCCCAGGCGACGCCAGTGGTTGCCCTGCCATTTCCAAGCCAGGAGCGTCGCAGCCAAGAGGATCAATAGCGCCAGCAGCAGCATCGTTGGGCATCTAGAAAGCTGGAAGGGCACAACTCCACTCACTGGCACTCGCAGTCGAGCTGAATACCTCAGAGATCTGGTTGCGTGATTCCCTGACTGCGTCCCATTAGCCCGGTAATTGCTGTATCCAATCAACTGGCTGGAATGTTTCAATCACGCAAGATTTGCCGCAGCCAACAATGGGCATGACATTAAACATGTACTTAAGCGCGCGATGGTTCTACATGGTTCGGATAATAATACTATTCCATTAAACCAGCCGTTTTATTGCATTTCTTGTTGCAATCGAGTGTTCGGGTTAAGAAATGTATTTGGATATGCTTGAACTTTGTTTTTCCAGGGGATTACGGCCACTGTGGCAGCAAGCGGCGATTGATTGGAGGAGGTGCCTGCGAGGGAAGGAGGCATCTGTACTGCATGCGGAGCGCCTCCGTGAAGTCGGTGCGCCATCAGCAGATGAATGCCGGCGGTGGAGCAGTGACTCTAGCCGGGAGTGGACCTGGAAACGGCGAATGCTGCAGCCGGATGCACCGGATGCGCCACCAGATGCAGCTGCAGCAGCAGGGCTACGTGAGCGACAATGAGTCCCGGCGCAAGTCCTTGTCGCAGCCCAGTCTGCGGATCACAGAGGCGGGACTGCGGAGGTAAGTCTCCAGAGGATGCACATGACCATGCCAATTTGGCAATAAAACGCTGCCTTTCAGGTCCAACGAAACCAAGAGTCTGGAGAGCAAGAAGCGGGTGGTCAAGATGCTGTTCGTCCTGGTGCTGGAGTTCTTCATCTGCTGGACGCCGCTGTACGTGATCAACACGATGACCATGCTGCTGGGGCCGACGGTGTACGAGTACGTGGGCTACACGGCCATCAGTTTCCTCCAGCTGCTGGCCTACTCCTCCAGCTGCTGCAACCCGATCACCTACTGCTTCATGAACGCCAGCTTCCGGCGCGCCTTCGTGGACACCTTCAAGGGGATGCGGGTGTGCGAGCGCCTGTGCGCTCCCTGCTGCTTCTGGCGGCGGCGCTCCAAGAACGAGACGAACCTGTCCGTGGCCGGCAACTCCATTGCGCTGGCCAACTCGGTCATGTCCAGCCACACGATCCTCGAGAGCCCGCGACTCTGAGCCAGCCGCCGCCGACCGCAGATGGCCGAGTCGGAGTCACTTTAGGTTACCAATGGGCACGGATCGGGTGCGCCCACATGTGATGATGCAATGTAACTGCAATAGAAACTGTGGTTGTCAGCGGCATTCCGCCGCGTTCTAAATGCGTGTGGAAGTGGCCGGATAGGTGGACGGAGGTGGGTGCATGGAGCAGGTTCCCTGGCAATTCATCTTACCGATAAGTATTTTAATATGTGTGTGCGAGTATCTGCTTAGAGTTGCGCTAAAGCGCCTTTTTCAGTGTGAGTTATTAGACTTTGACCTCTCGTTCTATGTGTTTTTGCACCTAAGTGGGTGCAATCAGTCTTGCCAATCTAAATTGAGATCGCCACACGCTGCGGAGCATGCAAAAATGCTCAGCCGGATTGAGATTTAAACAGAAAACAGAACAGTAGCTTAGAAAGCAGCACAATGGTTCAACGAAATTGCTTCCCAGTGAATGAGCCCCATAAAAGATATTAAATCGCTGGGAAAAGCTCTGTGCACTGGGAGCTACTTCAAACTGTGGCAAATACTCATTCGTGCCACACGGCGTATGAGTGATATTTGCGCAGGCTATGCGACCATTGTGCTGCACTTATAGTTTTATCTCCACACTTACCTTACAGAGGTCAATCCCGAAAGTATATGGTATTCTGATCACGATGCAGTGAAAGGTTTCAACGAACCAAGAAGCATTTGACAGCAGGCTGATTTTACAGGGTACACAAGGAAGTCCACTCTCAAAGGATTCCTATCATTCAAAAATGGTTGTCACACGGAGCTTATGGAGCGACAGACACTCCAAGGTCCAAAACTAAATTAGGGCGCCCGATTGGGTGCCAAAATCCAATTTTAAGTAGAGGAAAGTAGCTGGAAATGCCAATCGGACATATTTGGGCGGTATTTGCACAGTGGACTTTTGGCAAACGAAATAAATGGCATAGTATACAAACAAACGTTTCATTTTAGCTCTCATTTTAGCTCCCCTTCAACGAAACTGGCAATTGCAATTATTAATCGGATATTTGTATGTGTATAGATCTCAGTGTTTTGTGTAAATAACATCAAATCAAATCGAATCAAATCGAATAAAGCGACAATTAGCTTCGGGTTCATTCTGCAAAGTGTTGTATACTTTCGGGCCGTTGTCTCTCCACCTGGTTAGCAACTTATCGGGCAAGGCGCACCAGTAATCCAAAAAGTAGTCCAGGCTGGAGGCTAATTGATTGCCTGCCAGTGCGGCTTCACCTCGGCATTAACTCCGGATGGAGTTGGCCGGGCCATTTGGGCAACAGGATACTTTGGGGGTCAAGGTGCAGGAGGAAGGATGCAAAGCGCACACATTGTTGACCATTTTCTGCTAATGACTTGGGCATTAATTTCGCTGCTGCATGCGATGGCCCCTGGTAAGTGGAGTGGCATCCAGTCAGGCAGTCAGCCAGCCAAGCTGTCAGCAGCAGAAAAAAGTGTGTGGCAGGATGGGGATGAGTTCCATGCCAAGTAAAGCCAATTCAAGCCATCCCACGTCAAGCAGTTTCAAGGCGGCTCCACAAATAGCCATATCCGCATCCCACAAAGCTGGAATTAGTCGCAGAGAATGGATCGATAGACGCACTGGCCATGGGATAAATCAATTGCCACTTTGAGGACAGCAAATGAATTGGTTTGTGGCCAGGCGGAGCGCTGATTGATGAACTACGATTCCGGTGGGAAAATCCGTAGGAAATTCCAGCTCTGTTTCAATTGCAGGTACCCTGTGTCCTGTGTCCCGAGTCACTGAGTCACTGAGTCACTGCGTCCGTTGCGGTCTGCCAGGCAATCACTCATGATTACCGAATGCCTAATTGCCGGTGCCATTCGAAACTGCCATCGGCCATACAGCCAATGCAACTGCATGCGTAATCGGATTGGATGTGCGAGTGCTCCACGGCGTTCCTCCATTCATCCACTGCGTATGGATGGCTATCATTCCGCACGGCACATGGGCGAAACGACCTCAGCCGACGGCCAAGTCTCCGTTTGCTACGTGACAATTACCGCACCTATTACACGTAATAAGCGGAGCTGGGAATCCACTTTGTCCCGGCAGCCGGGCAAGCTCCGTTTCCCTGCGAGCTCTAACCAGATCATGGTCAACTGGGCCATGGGCCATGGCATCTGGCCCCTCATCATGGGCTATGTCTTTCGGGTCACGTATACCCGGCCACCAGTTGTCTGGGCATTCGGCAGGCAGTTCCTAATAAACAAGCAGTCCACCGGAATGACAGGAAATTTACAAAGTATTTATTATGGCCCAAGTGGCGGGAGGGGCAATGGGCCAAGGGGTTGCACCCACTGTTGGGGGCTGTAAATCGCAGATGACTACGCCGCTCCTCCTTCGCGCCGACCAGAAACGCCACTGTGGGCCATTTTATTGATGTACTCAACTCGGTTGGCAGCTTGAGAAATAAATGCCTTTCCTTGGCTTTGTGTGGCCCAAGTCCTTGTAACAGATTGCCCAACATAATCCGATTTATTAAACGAATAAAAATATTGACAGCAGACGACACATCCACCGTCGCTGGGGTTGTGATAATGCGATAACGCTGGCGAACCGGCGACTCCTGCACATTTCAGACGGATTGATATACATTTTAAACAGATATTTCGCCCATTTCGATCAGCAAATAATTGGATTGGATAACTTCTAGGTAAGCTATTAGGCACATTGGGTAAAAACAGCTTTTAGTATTAATACAGCCAACTGACTGACAGTTCTATAGATTGAATTGAAATTGGTCAAAGCGGAGAGGCAATTGTAAGGTTGTACTCAAAGTTGGAGGCAACAGAACCCCACATGGTATACATAATTAACCCCCACAAAACCTTTTACACACTCATTTCTCATAATTATGACGGAGAAGTTGGTCCTTTTTGGGCGCACTCTGCTCAGTCACTTGGCCAACCTTACCACATCCCAACTCGGCCAACTCCGGAGCCGCACCACACGTGTCTGGCCCAAAAATACGCAGGTACACAAATACATAGGAGCTCGGAAATGAAATTACGAGCACGAAGCCAAAGAGCTTGGCGTGAATGCGATTATGCAACCCACATCGCAAAACCCAACGCTGGTGGCAAGTAGATTCAATTTCGAAATTTTTTGAAATCCACGCAGCGCCAGGTCATCCACCATCACCATCACCATCAGCATCACCCTTGCCCAGTCTGCCAGTCTGCCAGTCTGCTAATCGGGGGTTATTGATTTGGCCACTGAAGCCATACCTGTTAAGTGGGTCCAGGACATGGATGTTTTGGATGCTCCATGGGCGCTGCTCCGTGCAGACACTCAGCGCCAAAGACGTCCATAATCGAATTGAAGCTAATTCAACCGCCGGGCTTAGAGCTTAGGTGTCTGGCAATTTGACATTTTGTACCCACTTACCTGTATCTGTAACTGTATCTGTATCTATAACTGTAGCTGTATCTGTATCTGCACCTGGGTGTCTGCTGGCCACATAGGGCTGCTTGAAGCCAGTGCGACCTTGACCAGATTTCGATTGTGCTGCCGACTTATTTTCGACATTATTTAATTGTATTTTATTTTCTTTTAACGGTGAAGGCAACTGCAAAGACCGCATGGAGGCGGATTTGCGCAATGCACACACCACACACACCACACACCACACAGCACACACCACACGCACACCACGCACGCCCTTTTTGCCCGAAATTATACAATTGTCGGCGGACGGGCCGTTTACTTAACGGACTCCAGTTGAAACGGGTTTCGAATTGTATATTAATTATGCTGTTTATCTGGCTAAGTTTCGAAACGTTATCGCATGGTGTCATTTATATTTTGGCTTACAGGGAGAAGTTTCGCGACCAAACCAAGCGCATACACCTGACCTTCGAACGAGCGAAATTGTCGACGACACACTGTACAATGTACAGGCTTATGTACGTATATTTGGCTTTATTTTTAGTTACTGCGGTACTACCCATTATTTGTCGTCTTTGATCCATGTATTCCGAGTGCTTGTCACTGGAAAAATTCGGTGAAAGTTTGTTAAGCCTACATGAAGTCGGCCTACAAGTATTCGGCCAGATAAGCAGCCAGGTAGCTGCCGCTGCCAGGTGTGGCATTGCATAAAGGTCCGACCAGAAATGTTCAGAAGAGTGGCGGTCCGGATCGGTTGGGGAAACCATCGGATTTCAGGCCAAGAATCCCAAGCTTGGCGCCCCCTGGCGGTCGGATGGGGTAGCCGCATGCAATGATGTTAGGTTTGATGTTAGAATGTTTCCAAGTGGCATACCTCTAAATGTTTATGGCGCAATTCTCTTAACATCTGCATTCAAATTTAGAAATTTATTTTTTTCCCATTTTTTTGTCATTTTTTTGATGTTAGGATATTGTATATTCAAAAAGTAAGAAATGTCCCAAGTCTGAAGATCTAAACCCCATAACTCAACCTATTTTAATCGGATTCTGAAGTGGCATACCTCTAAATGTTTCTGGCGCAATTCTCTTAATATCTGCATTCAAATTTAGAAATTTATTTTTTTCCCATTTTTTTGTCATTTTTTTGATGTTAGGATGCTGCAGATTCAAAAAAGTAAGAAATGTCTCAAGTCTGAAGTTCTGAGCCCCATAACTCAACCTATTTTAATCGGATTTTGAAGTGGCATACCTCTAAATGTTTCTGGCGCAATTCTCTAAACATCTGCATTCAAATTTAAAAATTTATTTTTTTTTTATTTTTTTGTCATTTTTTTGATGTTAGGATGCTGCAGATTCAAAAAAGTAAGAAATGTCCCAAGTCTGAAGTTCTAAACCCCATAACTCAACCTATTTTAATCGGATTCTGAAGTGGCATACCTCTAAATGTTTCTGGCGCAATTCTCTAAACATCTGCATTCAAATTTAAAAATTTATTTTTTTTTTATTTTTTTGTCATTTTTTTGATGTTAGGATGCTGCAGATTCAAAAAAGTAAGAAATGTCTCAAGTCTGAAGTTCTGAGCCCCATAACTCAACCTATTTTAATCGGATTTTGAAGTGGCATACCTCTAAATGTTTCTGGCGCAATTCTCTAAACATCTGCATTCAAATTTAAAAATTTATTTTTTTTTTATTTTTTTGTCATTTTTTTTATGTTAGGATGCTGCAGATTCAAAAAAGTAAGAAATGTCTCAAGTCTGAAGTTCTGAGCCCCATAACTCAACCTATTTTAGTCGGATTTTGAAGTGGCATACCTCTAAATGTTTCTGGCGCAATTCTCTAAACATCTGCATTCAAACTTAAAAATTTATTTTTTTTTTATTTTTTTGTCATTTTTTTGATGTTAGGATGCTGCAGATTCAAAAAAGTAAGAAATGTCCCAAGTCTGAAGTTCTAAACCCCATAACTCCACCTATTTTAATCGGATTTTGAAGTGGCATACCTCTAAATGTTTCTGGCACAATTCTCTAAACATCTGCATTCAAATTTAGAAATTTATTTTTTTCCCATTTTTTTGTCATTTTTTTGATGTTAGGATGCTGCAGATTCAAAAAAGTAAGAAATGTCTCAAGTCTGAAGTTCTGAGCCCCATAACTCAACCTATTTTAATCGGATTTTGAAGTGGCATACCTCTAAATGTTTCTGGCGCAATTCTCTAAACATCTGCATTCAAATTTAAAAATTTATTTTTTTTTTATTTTTTTGTCATTTTTTTGATGTTAGGATGCTGCAGATTCAAAAAAGTAAGAAATGTCCCAAGTCTGAAGTTCTAAACCCCATAACTCAACCTATTTTAATCGGATTCTGAAGTGGCATACCTCTAAATGTTTCTGGCGCAATTCTCTTAACATCTGCATTCAAATTTAGAAATTTATTTTTTTCCCATTTTTTTGTCATTTTTTTGATGTTAGGATGCTGCAGATTCAAAAAAGTAAGAAATGTCCCAAGTCTGAAGTTCTAAACCCCATAACTCCA